AAGTATAATGATCAAAATCATCATTAATAATTGAAGCATTGAAAAGTGTACATTTCAAATATTAAACTATCAATCACGAATTTCTTCTTTTAAATAGATTTGCACCTTTATTCTATCATATATAAAATATTTATAATTATTCACGATGTTTTTATGGTTTAAGGATAGAAAACTGTTGGATATGCATTTCTTAGATGAATGATTTATTAATTCAACTTCTAATATTTGGAAATAAAGAGTAAGAAGCAATTTCAATGTTGTACTGGAACAGTACGTGTATATAGACTAAGCCATTTCATGAAGTGTATCCTAATGTTTGAGATTAAACTTGGCTTACTTAAGTCTGCTATCTCCCATAGGGCATAAGTCACCGATTACAGAGAAAATAAATAATTATTATCAGTATGGGGATTTGTGGAGATAGTATTTTCACGATTGAACCCAAGAGTCGACTTTAGCTAGTTCAGCACTTCCAGGTTTTTAATAGTGTTCTAGCTTAGATCGACTCGTTGATTCAACTGTGAGAATATATAACTACTAGCCATTATTTTAAAGATAGTTATGTATTACGAAGCTTTTGTTTTGTTAAATCTGTTTGATGATTGGGGCAAGAATTAAAATTTGACAGATATATTTAATGTAAGTAGAGTAATTATTTTAAAGAGACTTTGGTCAATAAAATGCTCAAGTTAATTTGTATACGATATCATTAAATGATTTAAGTAATAAAAAGTTTGAACCGTCGACAATCTTGTTGAATATACTAAACCCAAATAAGATACCATAAGCTTAAATAAATTTACGAGTTGAATAAACAACTTCATATTTATAGTATATCAACTACGCTCTCGGTTATGTAGGTTTATTGTCCTAAAGTATGTATATTTATACCAGAATGTCATTTATAATTGTTGTATAACATTCATGAAATTAGTAGACTTGTACATGAATAGTAAGGGATATGTACAGTTATAATCTATTATTTCTAATTCTTTTTATAAATAAACTGGTTACTAGTTTCATTCTTTTTTTCATTCTTAATAACTTATAAAATAATCAGTCGAGATTATGGTGGCTAGCAACGGAATCCAGGACGCTCGTTTGTGACCCTTCAGATGGATGTAAGTGCATCCCAGAGTTAATGTTCACTACGGCACTCAAACCCAATGTCGTTTTCTTTAAACACTATCGCCTTATCCACTTAGCTATTGAGTCCTCACAGCCACTTGCTTGTGCAGTGAGGTGAAATTCGATTCATTTTTGCATTAATGTTTAGGGGGTACAATTGATCAATCTGTTATTGGCATATGTGCATCCTGTGCGGACTGTCTCGATATTACTTTCAGTTACAAGCATTATATATGTATGTAATATAATCAGTATAATGTATCTATCCCTATACTTATGTAAGTACATGCATATATATTTATTTGTACACAGTGAAAATTGACTAGCTCATTTCCATAATTCAATTAATGAACATTGATGAACAAATAGTTACGTGGAAAGAAATTTATTTATTTCACTAATCTAAGAATCTAGATAACGTTATATGTATAAATATAGGGTTTTTCACAATATGTGATATTCATATCGGTTTCTATGACTTTTATCCTCAAATGAATTGAACAATTCTTAGCGAAGGTGGTAATCAGATCTCTACTACGTCACCATCATTTTTTAAAATAAATATTTCTTATCACTAATTCTTTATAAATACAATATTGTATGTATTAATTATAGTAGCTAGAATAGTTCACATTATGGATATATAGAAAGATAGAGAAAGAGACGATAAAGATGAAGTGTACTAAATCCATGTTGTTTACATTAATACAAACCAGAATTTATACAAAGCACACTTAAAAATAACATTGATATAATTCAAGACAGACAGAGAAGAGATAATTAAAATTTTCATATTATTTACTGGGAGGCTTGAAAAATTAACTGCATATATCTAGTAAGTCAAAGAGAGAGAGAGAGAGAGAGAAAGAGAAAGGGAAGGAATTACAGCTATAGAATAACAAAAAGGACTAAAACCCAAAAAAAATGCGAAAACTACTAAGGGCAGACACACTGACAGGGCAAAATTGACATAGTTCACTTAATCTATTTTTATACTAATAAATAATCATAGCTAATAGAAAACTGCACATTAAAGAAGACAATAACACTAACTACTACAAAAATATGTCCACTTTCATTCGTTTGATTAGTTATCGGTTATATTATACATTGCTTCTAATATGAATTTTAATCTTAATTTATCATAAAATATGTTATAAGTAATTTGTTTACACATTATCCTCTTCTTCTTCTTCTTATCTATTGCAACACCAATAACTCTAAAAATGTGTAAGAAAATGAATGAAAGAATCCAAAATAATAAAAAAACACAAAGATGGAAGGTGAATGCACAAATAATAGAGGATAACAATTTGTTTATATTGAAATATTTTCATTTCTTTTCTTTTGACTTTCTATACAGACATTTCTGTGTCTGCATCTGTATGTATGTATATATATATATATAAATGTATACATAATTCTTAACTGATTAATAATGATATTTAATTAACCTTATTTGTTAAGATATGATTGATTTGATGGTTATTTTCTTATTACTATTTCATTTGTTAGTTTGTGTTTTAAAATAAACAGGTTTCTCTATAAATACCGAAATCAGTTTCAGCTTTTTACTTACCAATGACTTGTTTCTAGATAAATGTATAAGTGGAGTTCAACCAGGCCAGTTGTGAGATAGGAACTCACTGAAGACAATGGTGTACGGTGGCTCAACTTCGTGGATTGATTGAAGTTAGATATTAACAGCGTTGGATGTCGGCTCAGTGTTCTAGTTTTTTAAGCGCCTGGCGCGAGACTGATAGATCCTGGGTTCGAATCTCGCGGGGTGCAGGATCGTGGATGCGCACTGCTAAGGAGTCCTATACTAAGACGTCCAGTGTTTCCGGGTTTTCCATGGTGGTCTAGCTTCAATTGACTCATGATTTCAACCGGTATAAGTGATATGTTATATATGACATACAAAAATGAATGAGTTGTGTTATATCACAGATTAACTGAAATGATTAGCTAAGTAGTACGTAGTTCATCAAGAAACATAAATGTGGCGGGTTCGAAGTCGTGCATGATCATCAGTATACACTGCTAAATAGTGTTAAGTAATATAAAAAACTGTCATTTAGTGATTTTTTATTTTCAGTCATTGTCGCCTCTTTCTGTAAACTTTTTTATTGTCTGATAGGCTCATACTTAGAGTTTGTTGTGTGTTGTTACTATTTATTCACTGATCATTCACTAGTTAAGTATCATTTATTTTGTTTACACTTATCATTGTTGATTGAATTATATTCATGAGTAAATAACAAAACTAAATGACCTAATGTAGTACAGAATATTTCCTAATTTTGCGAATATATTTTCGATTGTTAGAAGAGAAAAGGATTCTCAATAATAAATGGTTGGGTGATGACTGTCAGCAGATGATAGAAACTAAGACAGCTACCCTGTAGAAATAGGTTTTTTTCATCTAACATAATAGCACACTTATGTATAGAACATTTGTCATAAGAATGAAGATGGTCAGAAGTCATTTAAGGGATAAGTGATTGGAAGACATGGGAATTATATGATATTTACAGTCTAACAGAATTAATCCACAACTACCAGGTTTAACCCTTGTTCTACCATATCAATATAGTATTGACCTACTGGAAGTTGTCATTATGATGTTTAAATTGCTGCTTATTTAATTATCATAACATTTATTGTTCAATGTCAAGTCATAATAATATGTTTTGCCTTGAATAAACTTTATCGCGTACAAACATTTATTTACAGCTTCATATTAAAAAGTTAGCAAAAATAACCTAACAACTTCTAAATCTTCAAACCTTGAATTCAAAACATTCATGAAGAAAACGAGATGAAAATTGTCAGAATCTTAGTAGTTTACATTACGGCTATCAAATGACTACTTATCAAACACAACTCAGTCATATGTTTTTGTCTGTCAAACTCTATCAGATCTGAACAAAGATTAACAAATATAATTCTTTATATTTTTTGCACAAATGATCGACACAAACTCAAGATCAAATTAGACTACCACCTTGGTATTTTTATAGTTGATCAAATAAAGAAATATGTTAGGCGTACAATGAATATTTTCTGACATAACAACTAGTGCTAAATGTTACTAACTTAAGTATTTCAGTAGTTGTTCTCTTCAAATCTATCGATTTTATGGGAATCACATATTCAAAAGTATTGAGTAATAAAAATATCTCTAGGAGTGGGAGAAAGTGTCACATCCTAAGACATAAAATGAAATGATCCACTCTATGAATGTAATGCATTAAGTAATTCAAAGTAGAATACAATTAACAAAACGATCCCTGCTATTATATTTTAGTGTTAATTAACACGCAATCTAGTTTTTATGGTTAATCAAACACACAATGTCATCTTTAATGAAACACATTCTCATTCACAAAATCCAACTTATCATCAAAACATGGAGGAGCTAAAATCAGGTCATAATAGATATAACCTTTTAACTGTATAAAAATCTTCACATGATTGAAGTGGTTCAATGTGAACAATAAAATTTCCATGAACTATAAAACTTTTCGCCTTCTCATTTAGCCTAAAAGTTTTCCTTATTATAGCCAATTTTTGTCACTAACTAAAATACCACTAAAAAAACCAGTGAACTTTGAACTGCTATCTCTTTCCGGTATCGAACTCCTTAATAATATCCAAATACAGATCGGATATGAATCTTTAGATTACACATACAGTACATAAACTTTAGATCATTATGTTATAATCAAATGTATCATACTTCTAATATCAAATTATTCTCTGTATAAATAAGTAACCAGTAAGTAGTATCATTGATCATTGAACTTTTATTAAGATTTTCTTAATCATTTTATTATTGTTGAATTATTTTTCTCTCTTTTCAATTATAGTTAATAATAATGAACAAATAAATAAAAAGAAATTTAAATTATTATCTGAATATATTGGTCATTCAGATAGAAAACTTATTTCATCATTTCATCAAATTCCAACTGTGAGTCATTATTAATTTAATAAATGTTAATTCATTAATTATTTCATTCCACGTTTTCTTTTTCTTTTCTTTGTTGTTGTTGTTGTTGTTGTTGTTCCCAGTACATTCAAGCATTATTATTACTTAGATGTATATTTATTATACAAAATTAATCTAATTTATTTCACTTTAAGGTTCAATGAATTTTTATTAATAGCAATTATCAATGAACTATTCTCTTCTTTTTTCTTCTTTTTCGGCTTCTTTTTTATTTCAATAATAAGTGTAAGAGATTAATGAATAGTGAAGTTGACTGAGATATTGTTTGTTTTTTTTTCACATTACTTGAGTTCGAATATTTACAATTAGCTTTTCAGTTTTCTAAATTTGATAGATCTATGCAAAAAGTAAAACTATATTGTTAAGTTTTATGTGAAGCAATTAAGTTATCTCCACTAGTAATTACTCAATATTTATCAGTGATGGAGATATTTGGAGATGAGGTTTAGATATTGTCTTAAGATTCATAAAAAATATTTATCTAAAGATTAGATAAGAACAAACAGAGAAACAGAATAACAAAAAGAAAAGGTAGGATGAAATTCTTTGTAAAATTTCTAAAACAATTTTTCCCACATATATAAAGTGACTCTACTATGATGGTTATCAATCATGATGACGTAATATGTAATTATTGTGAATCATATTTAAAACAGAAATAAAACATCACCTATAGAAACATCTCATAAAGTGAGAATAGAGTTTTGACTCTAACAAAAAAATGTTAACCAATTCAATTCAGTGAAACGATTTGGTTAATTAACAAAAAAAGCATTTAGTGACAATTAACTCTATGATATCTAATCTCACTAATTTATTAACTTATAGCTGAGAAGATTCTATGGTGATTATTTCCAATTGTAGGTTATTCATTGATTCATAGATCAATCTGTGATTGATACATTTTACAACTTATTTTATTATTGAAAAGAGAGTTTTCATAGTCAAAATAAAAACCTACTTCAAACATTTTCTAGGAGAATTTTTTTTATCATCTTGGAACTATATGTCATATCCAAGCTGATAAGTTTATTATGTAAATAATTAACAGTAGTGTAAATTAAGGTAAGAAATAAGTAAAATACGATTAACTATGTGAGGTGCCTTTCGATACGATTTATTTCAGTGTATATCAGGTAAATTTTATACCATTTTTACTATATGTTTCTCATACAATAAAAATTTTCATTGTGGACATTTTTTACATTGGTATCTGAGGGAGAAATGGATGAGTTAAATATACAAACATATATTCATTTCATTGGTTGAAACCATGAGTTATTTGAAGCTAGACCACCATAGAAAACTCGTTTTTCCTAGTACGGGACTCCTCAGCAGTGCGCACCCACGATCTCGCACCCCGCGAAATTCGAACTCATGATTTCAACCAGTGAAATTTCTAAAAATCTCCACAAAACCCCCTCTGATAATATATTCATTTGTCATTTAATTAATATGCTTTCATCTCACAATGAATACACCATGTCTTATTTTCTTAAGATTAGAGATATCTGTTAGGCTATAACTTGATAATATTGTAGGATATATTATTTCATAGATGCTGAATTATCTAAATTTGACATACATTACAGTATTTTTGTATAGATGATCATTTAATGTTGCTACATTTGGTTGAGGAAATACGATAGGATTAATTTATCTAGGTAAATTTAATTTTACGACCATCTTCACCACAAAATTTAATTAACTGAAAAACCATGACATGAAAACTAGGTATCTCAACTTTGTTTGGCAATACATGAGAGAGTAAACTTAGGAATTACAGTCTCAATATTCAATGAGTATAATATCTTCAGATCAGTCGTTGGAGTAATGCGATTAATAACTAATTTTCGAGCAATTTCAAAGTATAGATACATACATTTATCCTATCCCAATGTGGTTTCTTTTCCAAAGAAAACTTTGTTCAATTAGGTAAATACCGAAAACGACGAACAATTTAATAAACGTTTCATTGACAAAATTATGGAGAAAAATCGTACTTCTTGTAAGCATAATGGTATATATGCATGTGTGCGCTGAAATGAATGCTTAACATCAACTATCATTTGATGAGTTAGTCTATACCATAGAAAACTCAGTCAGCGACAAGTTGGTTTCATTTTTAATAGTACTCAAGCGCGTATGAAAATAAATTTATTTACTGGATTTTAAATGATTTCGTTTTTAAAATGTAGACAAACATTTCTGAAGACAACCATCTACCTACATTTTCTGCCACTGGTTCTAACAACATTGGTGAAATCAATATCCCATTCTCACCCACCGGAGGAAGTGGTGAGCAAGCAACTGAGACTGAAGGTAAGTTACCTTTTGTAAAATGTATTGCAATTAACTGATAATATACATGGGTATTTGAGATGCTGATTTTGGTGGAGTTTTGTTCTCTGAGCTGGATGGTTTGGTCGTGGAGCTTTCATCGTTCTTCTGAACGACATCATCAGCACAAACTTCAGATAGAAGTGAAGTGTTTGAATTTCTCCATATGTGTCTCAAAGCTTGTTCTGTGCACCTCGACGTTGATTGGTTCTTATTGACCTTAGATTTGTCGTTGTTTACTTCTTTGTTTTGGTTGTGTCTCCCATTGTTTTGATTTTTGATGATGTCGTTCAGAAGAACGATGAAAGCTCCACGACCAAACCATCCAGCTCAGAGAACAAAACTCCACCAAAATCATCCACCTGAGCTACAAATCTTCTCCATCTCGAGATGCTGATTATTTGTGAATACTTAGCTTTACTACTTGTTACTTATTAAGTAACCATGTGATGATACAAGATATATATACAAACTTACCTATAATTGGAGTGTATTGTAGGATTACATGAAACGAGTGAGCTACACATTTTAATTCTGAACATCTTACTGTAAACTAGAGGAGTAATAAATCATGGATTTTATGTTCGTCGATGCTGTTTTGATTCACGAATTATTGAGGATATTTCTATATACATTTTTCTAAAGAATATTTGAGTTTTGACTAAAAGTGAAATCCAGGACTGACGTTTGGTCTTATTTGGGACTTGGCAAATGAATAAACCTCAATTCCAGCGTTTAAATCCACACAAAAAAGCACTAATGAATCAACCTATCAAAATATACCTAGGCCAATACGGATTTAAAAACAGTCCTGATTATCAACTAAGAAATAGTTCATGTTATTGCCAAGAATAATATTTCCATACATGATTACCATAACTAACGGGAACATGTATGACTACTTTCATCAAAGAAATAGGTATTAGTAATAATTTCTAAATAAACGTTGTAAAACGTCAAAATTAATTCTCTTTATGATTTCTACCACAATGTGAAATAAACACACACACAGATTTAAAAATAAGTGACCAACTTCATCAAAAATAAGATTGGACACGAGACTATGGGAAAATTTGAACTATCTATTAATTTTTCTTTTAATAACTTAATCTTCCTTTCTTAAAATACAAGACTAAACATGACTTTTTTTCATTTTTAATAATATCTACTTAGCTATACGGTGTCATAGTCAAATTAATAGCTCAGCAGTTGATCAAAACTTTACAGAAGATTTAACAAATGCCACGAAGTACAAATTACAGTAAGATTTTTTTATTAAGTACTTATTTTCATAAACATAAAGCTTTTTTTACTTTGTCTACGGTTATTATTTATGAATCTACTAAATAAACAGTTTTCTCTGGAGATTGATTTCAACCCCACTAATCACTAATGCTATATTTAAGACAGATTCCTGAAACTTATGTGAAATTGCCACTATTATAGTTTAACTATAACCAGAGTAGTACATGTATCATGAATGCTATTGGACTATTATTACAAAGTGTAAAAAGTTGAGAATCCATGCCACTACATTCGTGCTCATTGGTCTAATATTGTTTTGTCAATCATAAAAATCGAAAATCTTGATTTCGATCTCACTAGATGTTGTGAGTATGTACTGAAGAGATGTCCAAAAGCAAGACAAAATTACTATTCAATGATTTACGTTTTTTAATGTTCCTCTGTGATGAAAGTGTTATTTAAACCTTAAGATGATTCGTCATTTATTACTACGAATTTATTGTGCGTATATTTAGTATTCACTTCAATTTCATCTACCATGTCTACAAGATTGTAGTCAAAATTAATTATCATAGCAACTGTGTGATATATGTGTTTTCTTTTTAATTTGTTTAATTTAACTATTATTACTAAACAACATGGTAACACCATCGATGCGTAAATTGGATTTTTCATTTGGAAAATTATCCAATAATAAATATACCAAGTAAAGAAAGTGTTTATTTATAGAAAATGATACTACTGAACTTAATCATAATCATCATTGAACATATTAGGTGTTAATAACTATATATAAACAAAAAATTAAATTGATTTTGACTAATCAACTATATCAATCATTAAAAAATTAATTCCGCCTACTAATACTTCTTCAACAGATTTCTTAATGCAAATTAAATGAATTATAAATGAGGATAGAAAAATAAATGTTCAACCAAAGATATAATTGGCTTGATGTGTGTGTGTGTGTTTTAATGGAGTTAATCAAGCTCAAGTTGTATTGTCTAAATAAAGTTAACAATGTAATCTGAATTCAAAACTAGATTAATAATCTGTAAGTGATCAGTAATTAAACAGTAACTTAGATTATGAAACTAGGTAATACTGTTTTGAATCGTATGGGAAATATCAGTTTTCTCAATGGTGTAAGCACAGTATTGCTGGTGAGTGTTGACAAGCATGAAATTTAGGTTCAGGATTGCGTATCTACTATATCCAATCATTAAATATTCAATCACAAAATATACATATCATATATAACACCCATTAACGAAATATGTATTTGTACCATCAGAAACTTACCAACAGAGCTTCCATTATTGTTTTCACTATTTCATAAGAATCTGAAGTTAGTTTACAGTGCAGACTTATATCAGTTGGAGAAATATCTAAAATCGGAGAAGAGTGAATAACTTAGTTTCGTACCTAATAATGTTAGGTTTGATCCAATTCCATTTTCGTGTGTGCATATTTCGGAGAAGTTTAATACCACATGTAAACACAGTGATACAACAAGGAAAATAATATATTTTGCCCCATCCTTAAGGTCATTTATGTGCTCCTCTAATTACATAACCATATCATTAGGAAAAGTCATAAAATTAATCTAACCTATAAAATAATATGAAGAAATGATTCATTAGAAAATGAGGAATTTAATAGTTGAATACATCAGTCAACTGAGGCTGGACCGCCATGGAAACCTGGAAGCAATGGACGGCTGTTTCGTCTCAGTATAGGACTTCATCCATGATCCTTCCCCACGCAATTCGAACCACGGATAGTAACTCTCTGAAGACGGCGGTGGCGCAATTTCGTGAATTGGTTGAAGTTATACATCAACACCGTTGGATGCCGGCCCAATGGTCTAGAAGGTAAGCATCCGCGCGCGAAATTTACAGGTTCTGGGTTCGAACCTCGTAGAGCGGGAACGTGGATGTGCGCCGCTGAGGAGTCCCACAGTGGAACGAAACGGCCGTTCAGTGCTTTCAGTTTCCCATGGTGGTCTAGCCTCGATTGACTCATGAATTCGACCATTAAATGACTAAAATCTCCACAAAACTCTCTTCTGATAAAAGAATAATTATTTGTTGCTATTCATTTTACTTTGAGTTCAAATATACATCAGTTAATTAATCTTGATTTTGATGGAATTATGTAATTGGGATCGATCAAATATCCAATGCTCATTATGTATATGTACATTTCGTTGTACCGATTTTTTTAGTGACAAACCTTTGAGCCATTTGCTTAAAAGAAAATTAGCTGGTAATTAGATGATTTAAAACATCCATCAACCTACTATGTAGATAAATAAATACTAATAGTTCATTTACATTATAAATATGATCTAATCGAGTGATAATTATCTAGAAAGATTATGTTCATTGTGACAGTTCATTCTAATGAAGATAATTATCCTTGTATCGTTTGAAAGATATCATGATTAATCAACTGGTTAATTAAAACGACAATTTACTTGAACAGAAGGGTAGATGCAAAGATAAATGAAAGTTATCAAATAAATAAATAAACATAGTTTATTTATAATATAGTTGATGAAATAAATGTAAATATGGTTTAAATCAACATTTTTTTAAGGAAAGTAACGATTGATCAATGAGTATTTCTAGTCCCTAGTGGTAATCGAATTAGGATCTCACATGACCAAGGTATTATGATGCAATCAGTGTTAATGTCTCTAATTGTGACACTGGGTTCGAGTCTAACTAAAAGCATCAATACTGTCAAGTTTGCAGATCCATTTTGATAGAAGAAAATCTAAGGCCATAGCCACATAACTGATTGGTTGTAACAGCTTAACATTGTATCGAATGTAAATAAATAAAACAAACAAGATAACAATAAGCGACTGAATCTGTGTCTAAACGATTCGTACGTTTTACTTCTGGTAATTAATAATATAATATAACCCTATGTGAGACCATAAATGAGGAAACTCGAAGTAGAACAAAAAATTTGTTTCATACTCAGTAATATTAATGTGTCATGAAACTACTCTTCATATTTCCGTCTTATTAAATATACATAAGATGATTTGATCAAATGTTCTTACCTAAAATCTTTGTGTATACTCAGGTTGAAAAGCATCAACTGAATTGAAAATATTACTCCAAATAAATCCCCTTAATCTATACCAATTAGTCGAAGGTGAAATAATTATTCTCTGACGTGATAATTACTACTCATCTCTAAATAATCAATTGAATATTTTAAGATTTTGTTAAAATTTCAATGTTGGATGCAGTCAATTATTCGCCTGATCAAACCAAGAACTTATCACTTTCATAAAAGTTTCCTATAATAACTTTTATTTTAAAGAAAATATTAGTATTCGAATTTGGAATAAATTTACGACTACTTATAAAACTTATCAGTATTGCAAACTCATCAATCTTGAATCTCATTCATTATACATTGATATTGGATAGGAGTATCTAAGACTAAATTCAATTAGTATATAGATCCACATAAAAGTATTTAAAATGGGCCATTTTCTTCTAAACACTTCAATGAATTTATTCATAGTGTACCTATAGATGCTTATCTGAAGCAAGTATTCAAAATACTGACAATAATAATAATAGAAATTCAAGAATCAGAGGTTAAAGGTGAAGGGTTAAGTAAATACAAACCATTACTTATGAATTAATCAAAATAAAGGTCACATTAAACACCACTTCATTTTGATATGTGGGTTGAATTAACTAATATTTAAAAAACTACTGTGAAATATTCAACTATGGTTTCTAAATAACTCCATATCAATGTCAACTATTTAAATGAGAACAGAAATGTTTTCCAATGAAAATAGATTCAATTTTAATGAACTGCATATAGATTAAAACAGAAAATATACACAAATGATCAGACACTATTTACTTAACATTGAATAGACTCATTACATTTTCACACTTTTCTATTACTAGTTAGTGAAAGTTGTTAATCTGAAATTTATTTGAATATTTAAATCAAAAATACAATTTGACATTCAAAATCAAACAAACAAACCAAAATTACAAACAAGCTACTAACTAAGTAATATAAACTACTTTAAACTATTAATTAACTAACTAAATACTTAAACATGTTTATAATGTTACCTCATTATTATTATTATTTATTATAGACCATGTAATGAATTGAATAGAACAGTTATTTCAATCAAATCTCTTACTAATGATTGGCCGACTAGACCAAATTCGGAACCAATTTTAAAATTAACCAATCATAATTCTCTTGAATTTGAAATCGATTCGAGTAAGATAAATGTAAGTACTCATATTTATGTATATTTGTATTACATTAATTTACATGTTTTTATTTTCACTTATTTAAAGCATGACTTATTATCTCTAACTAGTAAATAAATAAGTTTTACGACACATTGGGTTTTACGACTCCTCTACTGAGTATTTTATGATTAATTTATGCATGAAAATCTCAGTCCATTGTCTAAAACTTGGGGTTCATAACATTTAAATATATAAATAGATAGATAGATTGTTTTAACACCAGTACATTTTGTTGAACAGAGAAAAAAAGTTAATTAAAAATCGATTTCATAAGTTTGTAGACTGTCAACAAAAAATTCAATATTCTCCATGAATTATCTTTAAATTATATGATAATAATACTGTTATTAAGGTATTTAAACAGTGATTTACATCTTGTTTGTTAAATGTACCATGTTCACACATAACTTGAACAACTTATGAAGAACCTCAGATGAGTTCTTTAGTAATTACTGTCAAGGTAATGTAATCAATAAGATTATTTATCTATTCCGAAACTTATATATATATTCTACAGTTGATTTCAAATATAAACAATCAACTTTAATAACATCTCATTCATAATTATTAGTTGTTTTTTTCATTCACATTAGTGTACAGTAAAGAACCATATGAACACAAGTAAAATCGAATAAATACCCATTCAGCCGATCGTATGTATGAATATCTTTGTATTAAACACTGACATACCATATATGAACGTGAAATACAGTACTTGGTAATTATAAGGAACAGTCCCATATCAATAAATATTTATATCATGTATTTTGATGTAGGTGGAAAAACCTTAAATGGACAAAGAGCAATCTCCAAACCCTTTTTCTTTTAGAAAGAACGTCTGAAGGATGAATGAGTCCAAATCACTGTCGCGATCCAGCATTTTGAATTCTTGATTTGTCATTAATTTATTTGGATTGATTGTTCAATAGTTTAATTAAATAACAAAAGAAGGGTAGATGTTATGAGAAAAAGTATTTTTAACAAGTCATTTATAACTCATTCACTTGTTGACTATTATGATAGTCAACGTGAAGAGAACGGCTGTCGAAATATCCTGAGGAAACTGAGACTAGGTTTATTTAAATAAATACATTTAATTCAGGCTATAAATAAGGATGTATGTATAAATCATGGGGTATATTTTGTGGAAATCACTAGACAATCTCAAATGAGTAAATATAGACAACTCCAAATTATATACTGACTCTCATCCAATATACCCCATGGATTGTGCTTACATCTTTGCTTACAATAAGAGCCATCGGTATCTATTTCAATAAACTTAGCCTTAATTTCCCCAGGATGTTTATGCAACGGCTTTCTTTACGCTGACCATCATGATAGCCAACATTTTAATGAGTTATAAATGACTTGTTCAACAATATTTTTCCTTGTTTAATATTTTCAGAAAAGTATTGGGTAACCTTATGATATCTAACTTTAATCCGACGTAAATGTTGAGATCAATTAAAGTTATATTAGAAATATTTCAGACACTCACAATCATACTTTGGTCGAGTCTTAATTATTAATGCTTTAATGCAAATTAATTCAAGGTGTTGATATGAATCTCTCAGTGATGCTAAAGTTAAGTCATTCACTTTGTAAACTGAAAATCTTCTGTTCGATCCATGGACAAACTTATCACTATACATTTTTGAAAATTGTCATACTATGAAGATACAACTATCTCATTGTCAATAGTAGTCTAACTTAAGTTAGTTTTTGTGAATATAAAGTACCATGAAATTTGAAAATATTTTTTTATAATGCTACTCTTTTGTGCTGCTCATATTTCAGATTTACAAAGCGAAAACCTATCAAAATCTATCTGATTCAACAGTTATTAATCAAGAGTAAGTGTATCGATTTTCGATTTTAATGCACCAATTGAAGTGAATCCATAATTCTCAATGAATTAATAACCATCAATGATATTTTATGTATTAAGCTATTCAAAAATTTTCTATCTTGATTTATCAAGGCTGAATACAAATGAAATTTTCATTTTGATTGTGGAGTAGTTTCAAAACACTCAATCTTTTAAATTAAGATTGCAAATGAACAAATTCTTTCTTTACCTTTAAATTATTAATAGAGTTCAATTTATTAATATCTTTGAGAGGGAATTCTATAATACCACGTTTTCAAGTTAAAATAGTGTATGTTTACTATCAATAGACGAATTTCGATATTATGTCGATATTATGTTATTTGAAGACATCGGTAGGAATCTCTGTATATGAACTTCGGACAATTTCTAGTAATTCTCAATACATTGCTCCATGGCTATAAAACTTGGTATATGAAAGTAGGAGACATGGGTAGTATGAGTATTTTCGGTCACAAGTGTCCTTAGAGCGTATAACGATCAAGTGAGGAGTTTCAAGGTTAGGAATACGACACAAGGCCATTGTGTCGAATCATTTTAGATTGTACATCTTTATTAACTATTGTTATTGGAAAATGTGTTAACTATACCTAACCATCGACTTCCTCCAATGACAATGTAAGCTGGTGTACGAAAAATATGGGAGCAAATAAAAGTATGACATCATTCCACGAAGTTATTGACCTTTATCTGATCTGTGTTGGCAGATATATGCTATCTGGTTGGCGCCTGTATGATTACAGCGATCAGCAGTTAAAAAAGCTGGATGGGGTGGTTTATCATCGGCCACAGCAATACGATTTTGTCCCTCCTTTGTCATGCTTCAGATCTTCAGTTCTCGTATTTCTTCATATATACACTTTTCATTTCATCTTTCCGAACCACATTGTTACTCGTTAATTCTTTATTATCACTGCTATTACACTTTTTCTATATCTTCTTATCTCGGCAATTTCTTTATATTGTATCTATACTGTATGGCGAATTGAACAAAGATACTTATGCCCCCGGATACGCCAACCATAACTAACTGACCGTAATAAGTCGTATTTGCAAACTTGAAGAAACCGGTATCTCGTACTAAATTCAAGCCGGGACCAAATAAAAATATTACCACTGGGCCGTTCAATCAGCAGTTGTAGAACTTACAACTTTTCACTTAGTGATTGTTGAGACTAATTTATGGACGGACCAATCAGGTATAAGATGACAGGTCTCGCATTTTGGCACAAAATTCACTCAACCATTTGGCTAAATAGAGTCTTGGTATTACAGCTGATGTCAGTTGGTGATAAAAACCCTAAATCTAATTCTTAACATTAACCATCAAATGTAAATCATAATTCGAATCCCTCACACTAATTTATAAACCTCATTAGGTCCTAGTTATCAGGTGGACACTCTCAAGGTCATTTTAGCGTCGCTCAAAGGTCGTCCATAAATTATAGTCTCACTGTATTAACATCTGAAAACCGCATTTTATTTAGCAAGTACGAACCAGTTCCTCTTCAAAATTCAGTTATATTAGTTAGCTTCATGCGGTGCATCTCTCATAAGTTTTATCACAATAGATTAATGCTATTATATAATAGGATATATGTGCTATTTAAATACTTTTATGAATATACTCTGGACGATAACGCATTGATTCTGTAAAGGGCAGTTGCTTGAACTTTGAATCTAGTGAGATTATAAGTTTCCAAAGCATATAGAATTTCAGCTAGATTTTAGCTTTTTGACATTATCACTGAAATGTACACACAAGACACTATAAAGTCTCCATGATAGTTCGACATAAATTAGGTTTTCAGTCCATATAAAAGCATATTGTTTAAATCAATTTCCTAATCATGTCAATACAATAACATTATCTTCCCTGTTTTCCATTTGAATCAAGCCTTATTAACAATAATTTAGTAATCAATATGATTATGATTTGTAACTGAGTCATTAATCTGTCTATTCATTTTGTTATTAATTGTAATTATGCTTTCTCATTTTAAATTCTGTCGATAAATACTTACTGGTGATAATAATGGTTTCTGAATGTTTTCACCGCTTAACATGTTTAGCATATCCACCAGTGTTTATACAAACATATACTGTTTATTATACGTTATGCGAAAATGAAAAAAAATCTTGATAGAATATAGAGATGGGACAGGGAAGAAGTTAGTGAAAAATAAACAATACTGAAATTAATACACAGAAACAGAAATAACAAACAATTAACACTCAATTCCTTTTCTCATTTTTTTTTATTATTTACTTACTTCATACCGACATATATATTGTTATTTACTTTAGTGTTGAAAATTAGCTACTGCCATTATTTAATACTATGATTATTTAAACTATAGATTAAATGTTTGATAAGCGAACAGTTAAACATGTTAAATACATATAAACATACAACTATACGTAGACAATTGACCCCTGTTCGAATAATCATAATCTCTCCACTGCTGATTTTAATCACTCACCCTCTCTCTCTCTCTCTATATATATATATATATATATATATATATATATTATATGAACCCTTAAGGGTTCAAGACTGGTTCCCCATTCTTGAATTTTAAAAAAAGTCAATGGTAAATGATTACTACGTGAATAATGTTTTTTTTAAACTCATGGATATGTGTGTGTGTTTGTTCTTTTTCTTTAAAAAGCATGTAAATTAATTCAAAGGATTATAAATAAATGCACTGAAACATCTGTTATTTACACCACTAATTATTATTAAAGCAAGTAAAACATTGATAATCATAACAATGTTTACAAAATACAAACTTTGACCTTATTTTTTTATTAATATAAGTGGAACACAATGATTACTAATCATTCACCGCCAAACTTTCTTATAACAACTTTCATCACCACCACCACCACCATCATTATCATCATCGCTTACATTCCATTTGTACATATGCAACTTTCATAATGAAACGTATTTATAGTGTATGTATAAAATATTTTTGAGCATGTCTAAGTGTTTATCACTTATATATTTATATATCAATTAAGTGTAATATTATAATAATAATAATAATAATAATAATAATAATAAAGATTATTTAACATTGTCACTTATCTTTCTGATAAAGGAATAATGAATTATATCATCACCATCATCAACTATCTTCCCTTCTATTCACTCTTATGGATTACTAATCAGTTAGTTATCAGATCTGCCTTTTTTTTTCTATTATCCAAAACTGATAAGATAAATTGTAAACATTTAAGATGAAGAAGGTATCAATAAGTATTATCATATATTTTTTTAATTATGAACAATAAATTGTACCAAAGTAGTGATAATATTTTATTATATAATTAATTATTTACTTTGTCTATAGTCTTAATAATTTTTTTTATAACGAACATAATAAGTATCAGAAAGGGTTTTGTGGAGATTTTTAGAAATTTCAATAGTTGAAATGAGTCAATTGAAGCTAAACCGTTATGGAAAACCTGGAAGCACTGGATGACCGTTTCGTTCTAGTATAGGACTCTTCAGCAGTGCGCATCCATATAATAAGTATTAATATTAATGTGGATTATCTTGATAATTCTGATATGATTGTTTGGACAAGCTACATTTTTTGCTGTTGGTACAATTATTGAACTTCAGTGTATTGTTATGTTTTATTGTTATTAGAGGTTGTTGCTATTTAACTGAATTCCACAATAAAATGCATTAAATTTTTAAAAAAAATTTGTATTGTTTGTTAAAATAAAAGAAACAAACAATCACTAATTACATAGGGAATATTGAATAGGAAAAGAATCTATCGGTCATTGAGTTACTGAATAATTAGACAGTTAAGTAATTGATAGGGTTTGATGAATATTGGTTTAATATGTTTACTGGATTCATCACCAATGGATAACAGTTGGAGAACAAGTAAAAATTAGGATGCACTGGATAATTTGAAATTTAAATCAGCTTTCATGAAAGCTCTTTAACTAAACTATTTTAGTCAACTTACCAGTGATTGATTTCATTATGTTCCTGAAGTTCTAGTAAGAAGTTGAAATTGGTAGACTTCAGACATATATTTAATGACTCATTATCATTATTATCATTAAATCCATCGACTTAATTGTTCCCCAAATCCCTTAGGAGTTTATTCGTAAACGTTCCTGATATGACATTATTTTATTTAACTTATCTAATACCTTATTATTATTATTTAATTATCTTACTCTCTATTCACAATCTAATCCATTTTTAATTATCTAGTTCTATAACCTTTCTGTTACATCATCAATACTATTTATTATTCATATGTTCTAACAGGAATAATACTTAAGATCTCAGACATATATATACGATTGTACGGCTTGATAATAAATTTGTCGAAAAGCGATCCCTTCACAGAACTTCATGTGTTTATAGTTTGTCATTTGTCACGATGATCGCTTCTCAATAATGAGACTGAAGTAATTTTACTGTATTTCGACTTAATGGCTCTAACTTTTAAGAGTTCGTCACTAAAAGTAACGATACTGGGTTCAACTTCTGATGACATTGTTGATGTTGTTGCTAAAGCGTCACATAGTAGGACAGAGTATTCTAGTTTTTAAAGATACTCCAACTGAATCGACTTATAACGAATCTAATTTACAGTTGTCAGCTATCAGGTCTGATAACTGAGTGCATATTTCAATAGAATTCAGAATTTACGATGAAAGGGTTGTTCCTTAGTGATATAAATTCTTAAGATTACTCTGTTTACACTGGGTTTATACTCTTTTAAAATTTCAACAATTTTGTAATTTGGTAGTGAGCCCAAAGTACTAAAATAATGTCTCGTTTCAATTTGATGATTGCATGGATTCCAAAATACACATGGATCTCACTTAAAAGCGCTTAATAGAGATATGAGGTTGTCGCATATTTTACATTCCAGACTACTAAACAAACTTTTGTAAATTGTAGAATTTCTATCCTCTAAATCA